ACTGAATCAGAAACCCAGGTGGGGGCCAGTCCCTGGGCTTTGATGCGCCTTCCAGATGATTAAAGGCTGAGAACCACTGATCTGATACAGGCCCAGGGACAAATGAGAGGACATACGGGCATCTGCTCAGCCCGGGGCTGGGACACAGTAGGTGCTCAGGACCTGACAGGTTTCCTCTTCCCTCCTACCTGGGCAAGAGTTTTACCCGAAAAGGTTAATGCTACCGCAGACCTCTGAGAGGTGAAAGGGCCTTGTTCCCCTGGAGGATAGACACATTATGACGGCTTCATTTGATTAAAAGGGGATGTTGATCGTTAGTTATGACCCAAATTTCTTCTCTCCCCAGCAATCACTCAAAGTGTTCCCAGATGCGCTGGGGGGTGGGGAGTGTGTGTGTGTGTGGGGGGCGGGCGCTGTTGGTTACCTGCAAACACAACATCCCTTTATAACGAGGACGCTCATGCTCACGGAGACTTTCAGAGAAGCCGAGCTGCCTCCACGCCCCTCGGGCCTGCCCTGCGTTTGATGGAGTGAATGATTGAAAGGAAACATATGCATTCCAGATTGGACCCGAAGAGCTGGGCTGGGAGAGGCGGCCTGCTTCCAGCGGCAGCCAAGGGGAGGTGGAGAAGCTCTGCAAGTATTTGTTGTTCCCGTGGGGCTAATTATTGACTTTTAGAGGCAAGTAGCCGCCCCAATTTCGGTTAGCACAGTTGTTCGTTACTGCATAATTAAGAGGAAGGGGGAGCAGCCTTGGTGGGGAGCAAGGCAATGCGGAGGCCAAATGCAAATAGCTGGAATGCCTTTGTCTAAGGAACACCGGCCTGCAGTCACCAAGGTCAAATGTTCAGCTCTTGGGCACAAAGGGCCCAGGTACTGAGGCTGACAGAGAAGGCAGGCAGGGAGCAGGCCCCTGCTCCACCGGGGAAGGGCAAGGAGATGGAGGAAGCAGGCCTGCCTTAGGCAGGTTTGGGTGGTTTCAAAGGATTAGTGCTCCTCTTGTCCTAAGATGGGCTTAGTTCTGGAAAAGAGTGAGCTTTGCTCTGAACTCAGG